CCTAAGTTACAGAGGGCGAACATCTTTGACTATAGTATCGCAAAACTCAATTGTTTCGTTGCGCAACTAAAAATTGAGTAGTGTGCGCACTTCCATATAAGCTCATAGGAATCAAAGCGACACTAAACAGTTTAGTCAAAGGTGTTCGCACGCATTAATAAAATACAGTTAAAATGCGAAAATAACGGTATGCGAAAAAATTAGTATATTGCGGGATTCCAACCTCCGACTGTATATTACAAATGAAGTGTCGTAGGCAGTTTAAACCACGACTGTTTAAATCTGTCCGTGTACAGTGATCCTAATATTAGACATATGTAGTAGTAATAGTAAGTTATTGTTTTTTTTAATGTTTTTTAATTGTAAATAGGTAAAAATTTTAAAATGTATCAATGATTGTATTATTTTATATTGGAACTGTTAGTATTGTTTTTGAAATAAAATAAAGTAAACAAAGTCCTTGGATTCACCACGCCAGGGGGAAACGACGGGGCGGCGAATAGCCGCCCATAAAAAAAAAATTAGACATATGAATTTATTTTCAACATTATAGAGTGTGTTGGAATTTTATTCTTAATGTTACGTACCGTTGGTTCATTGTTAACAATCTCCTGAGGCGGTCCAGGTTTGACATTTTCTTTTTGCGCTATATCGACTTCCTTCGGTTTCGGCTGTACTTCAGGAATCATCTTCCGTTCGTTGTCGGGCGACAATGCGACACCTTTCCATTTCTTTAAACCATTTCCTGCAAACATACCGTTAAAACATCAGACACTGGATATAATTTAATACATAAATAATACCAGTACTATCGGCTACTCCGATTACGGCTTAAATTGGTTTTCTTAGCGTAGGCAATACAAAAAATGATTTAGTTTACCATCATCTTTGTGTCCGTCAGACGCGGCGTCACTGCTGGAAGTGAGGACAGCACTCTGGTACGCCGGGCTGGAGTGCTTGAAGCGCGCTTCATCGCTGGACAGTCCCACTGGCATGGACACCGGCTCGTCCGAGTCTGTAGGGAACACCTCCGTGTACCTCGGCCTTATATCCTCCTGGTACACGTTCGGTGCATCCAGGGTATCATTGTCTAAGTTATTTAACTCATAACCATGAGGAGGCACTGAAATCACAAATATATACGATTAAATGTAAAAAAATAGTAATTTTCATACATATTGTTTAATAAAACTAATAATGACAGGCCCAACGGGTAATCATTTTAAATAACAGTGCTGCAAAATACTTTCTACGATCGTGCTTAGTAAAATCCAATTCTCTAACATAGATAAGAATGTAATAAACAAATTTACTAGATTATAATGTTTTGTATGGTTTTGTGTTAGAAATGTGTTGTTTGAAACATATGTAATAAATAGGGACGGATCTCATGTCTAATACGAAAACATGTAAAATAAAACGATATCGTGTAAAATATGTGAAAAGTGAAGGGTTAACTAACAAGCGGTATTGGTTACAGATCAAACCAATATAGATGATAGTGCAAAAGTGCAATAGAGGCGAGGAATGTATTCTGAATATACCAATTGAAATTCGTTGTGCAACATTCACTTATTCACGATACATTTTTCAATTCGAAAATGAATATTACAAAAATCTATTTCGAAGTTATATTTACTGCTTTGTACTTCTGTATCAGTTATTTTCAATGCATTTAAGTATCGAACGTTTGAAATTCTGCAACGCTTTGTAAGATAGCTTCAATTCTCGCAAATGTTTCTATAATTTATATTCAACTATATTTATTGGCTTTAAAATTATATTTATCATCGACAAACAAGATCGTAAACTTAAAAAGTTATTACTTGGATTTAGTTGAAGTTGACATGAAAACTCTTTTACGAAAAAAGAAGAAAAAACATATACATTGACACTTGTAAAGTGACGTGAAAAAATTAATTAAGAAAAAATGTAATATGTCATAAACTCTGTCGGGAAGTATAATATAATTAAATAAACTGTGTTATATACCTCTGCTTTCAATATTTTAATAATATTAGGTTATGGGCCCAGCACGCTTCCACTACACTTTGTTTAAAACTTATCTAGTTTAATGCAACGGAAAATATTTTGTTAACCAAAAATATTCGGGTATTGGGAAAGTATATTTCATAGAGTACATTATTTTGTAATTGCACGCAGTTTATTTATCCAATAAATGGATAGTTTAAAAACGTATCGTGAGTAAGAGTTAGGGAGTTTTTGAACTAATTAAATGCTATATCCGATAGACGATCGATTCGTCGTTCAAATTCGGACTTAAGGGGGTACTGACAGTCTCACCTGTCAGACTCAACTTTTGTTTCCTACAAGTGGGCGGGGCTGTGGGGCTGGTGAGTGTAGCAGTATGACGCTGCGGCAGCTGTTGCAGCTGTTGCAACTGTTGCAGTTGTGGCAGCTGTTGCTGCTTGTGCTCGCACACCGTACCGTCGACAGTATCGGCTAGCGGATAGTGTGTCTCAAGCTTTATATCCGCACTTGGACCATCTGTGCAGAAACTATTGCTTAGTGCTTGTGTATTCGATATAAAGATGTAATGTATAAAATATTGTTCAGTGTTTTAAAGAGGAAGAGATAAAAAAACAGTTTAGTAACAAAGCAATTATTGTCTTAGCTTTTAATTACATGTTCTTCCTGAAATCATATCTTAATTAATTTTTGCTGACCATATCCGATCCTAGAAACTAGAACCCGGCTAGACCCAGCAAACTATTGTTTATACAAAATATTCCCCTGTTTTAGTAAAACAATTCCCACGTTTGTCTTTTATATACCTAATTATAATGTACTTTAATATCATTTACTGATTAAATTATAAACAGGTAGCATTTACAAGTGTATAATAAATAAATGATGTAAATAGCTATAGCTATTTTATAGCTATTAACAAACAATGGTTGGAAACGTGTTTTCGTTTGAATGCGGGCGACAGTAATGCGAATCAATTAAGCTCATAATAAACGTAGGTTTGTCCGGCCAGTGCGCGTAATTAGCTTTGAATGTTAGGAGCAATTTGCAGTGGGAAAAGTTTACTATATTTTCATTCTTTCAAACAATAAATTTATCTTTTACACTTGTTATGCGCGCAGAATAAACCATGAAATCAGTGTGTTGAAATACAGATAATATTTTTTCGAACTAGTTCAAACAGATAAAAAATATTCTTCTAATTGTATTAAAATGTGCATAGCTTTACTGGCTATTAATTCTCTTGAATATCGGTCGTCCCGTGTGTACACAGATAAATTATGAACGTGCCTCGCTTGCTCAAACCAGTGCAGAATGCTGTGCAATGCACTGCATTGTTTCATCCATTATCTAAATGATGCCCACTTTATGCCTTTTTTATTTTACTCGCTGCTCATAAATATACATATTTTCAACTTGTGTGATATCCTAGTTTATGTATTTATTCAATTGTTTTTATTTAAAATAAACAATTTAATTGTCGAGTCCAATTTGCTTTAAAAAAAGAGCGACATGGTTAGTTTAGTTATTTGTTAAATCAGCAGCTTTGCAATGTTGATATTCCTACAGATTGAAGAGTACAGTCACGGAAACCCACGGTGTCCCATTTATATAAAAATTACTATGTTCTTTGCAACGAGACAAACTCCGTCTCTTCTTACAAATAATCAATTTGGTATCAATGAGTTGCTCAAACAACTGGAAATTTAGAAAAGGGCTTAGTCATGTACCACTTGTTGACATTTAAGCCTACAAACTCGTTTAAAAACCTACGTCCTATTGATTGTTCCGCATAGTCATCCCAATGCATCCAATTCAAACGACTGTAGCATTTAAGAACACCGTCAGATTCCACGATTGTACAATATATCGTTCCTTTTTTCGGGTGTTTAGATATACATACCCGTGGGTTGTTCGTAGTGGTTGTTATCCTTGGTGAGTTTGCGGAATTTGCGCGGCGAGAGACAGGGCGAG